CTTTACAGATCTGTGTACACTCCTCCCCCGCACACCAGATCTTACCGAGCCGTCTACTACCGGACCGGAGACACGGGAGGAATGAATTACAAACATCAATCTGCGCCGAGATCAATACTTCTGCAGACGTAATTGCATCCGCAAATTGGCAAAACCGACTCTGCCAGCGCTGAATACAAATGACCGCCGCATTGCCTGCCACCGAGAAGTTATTCCGATGCGGAAATTCCAGGCTGGACCCTGGATCCGAGATTCTGGAATCTATACACCAATCCGGCAACAACCCGGCTGCAACATCTACCCCTCACCAATCCGGCTGCGACATCTGCCCGTCACCAATCCGGCTGCGACATCTGCCCCTCACCAATCCGGCTGTGACATCTGCCCGTCACCAATCCGGCTGTGACATCTGCCCCTCACCAATCCGGCTGTGACATCTGCCCCTCACCAATCCGGCTGTGACATCTGCCCCTCACCAATCCGGCTGTGACATCTGCCCCTCACCAATCCGGCTGTGAGATCTGCCTCTCACCAATCCGGCTGTGACATCTGCCCGTCACCAATCCGGCTGTGACATCTGCCCCTCACCAATCCGGCTGTGGGAATCGGCGGCTGGCGGATGATGTGGAATGCCGTCATAACACGGATGATACATTGATTGTGGAGTCCGGATACATTGTTTCATGTTCTTTAATCCCTGGTGAAGGGGGCGGAGTTACAGCCCCGAAACGCGTTGGCTTTGTACACACTTTGTCTTTGGAATCAGTTGGTATCTGGAGTAGAATACGGCGCTGATCTATTGGTGTGTAGAAGCTGCCGGTCCAATGTTCAGATTCTCCATCGCTGCATTGCCGCCGCACCATTGGATGATTCCAACAATAAAGATATAATAATCCCAGAGGGGTTCCGGCGTCATTTCCCCCTCTGCCCCTTGCTGTGAGAACATCAATTAACCTCATAGCAATAAAGAGTGTGCAACTGTGCGTGTTCCTAGTTCTCAGATGCCGTCATAGAGGTATTGCCACGTGAACGGGCGCACACCCTGTCACGCTGTGACATCTGCCCGTCACCAAGGAGGTGACACGGGCAGAGGTGACACGGGCAGAGGTGACATGGGCGGAGGTGACACGGGCAGAGGTGACACGGGCGGAGGTGACACGGGCGGCCTGAACTGATATATAATAACAAACCTACATCCAGGCTGACCATACCGACCTCTGCTACAGAAAATGCCAGTTCTCTGGCTGCCATGCCGAGTCACAGATCCTTAACAATATGGAGATATACTCTGACTTTGCTCTTTCACTTGCAGCATGCTTGTTCTGGGTCCTGCCACACACACACACCTGAACACAGACATTTCTCAGGATCGCTCTGACATCTCAGCACATTCAGGAGGATTG